AGGGTAGACACGTCATCAAGGCAAGCGAGCCCTGCTTGAGCAACTTTTCCCCTTGCCATTCAATATTCAGGCATGAAGATGACACGGGTGCGCATTGTGCAAAAGGTGGTCGCAGTTCGGTGTACGTTGCAGCGCCAGATGTAGACAGCGTTACCCTGCATCCCACACAAACGGGTTGGGGTTGTTTCGTGTGTTTGTTCGTGGGGGACGAAAGGCAACGGGAGGCGGGGACATAGGTGAGGACCCCCTCCCTTCCCTTCCCGTCCAACTCACGGGTTGACGGCTCGTTTGTGGTTCCAAGCATGTCAACGGGCCTGTGTTTGTTGCTGATTGTGTAGAAGGGCCTTAACGTGATGCTCGACACGCGATGAAAATCGACAATCGACATCTCTCCGATGATGAAGCATTCCAAGGGATTTGTGTTTCCTGGAATATGTCAGGCTGTGAAACTGGATTTGAAGTTAGACTGGCCCCATCTGTAGGAACATGTTGAGAAGGGGGGTCTGGGTCGTCATCGTTTGATTCGTCGTCGTCGAGCGTTGTGCTAGGGCTGATGTTGCTTTTGGTGCGACGAGTCATGGCACGGTAGGGATGACACATTATGCGTCAGAAGCTTCTCGTAGTTACTCAGACGAGTATCCAACCAATAACTTTCTAGCATCAACCCCGCATTTGATTTCCAGCTGTGTTCATCTAGCTCATTCACATACTTTTCGCATGGTAGGTTTGTGTTGGGTCAGTGTGTCCATTCCAGGCTGAGATACAGAGCTCCTCACTTTGAAGAATCAGGAGCGATTCGTTCACCCCTACCGTGGTATGAGTGTTACCTGCTTTCATGTTTGTTGAGAATGTCGACCAGAGCAAGCGTCTGAATCGCAACGCATCGTGATATTTGTTCCAAGAATGCCGTTTACAACAACATTCCTCCGTTCAGCTTGTAGATGTTTCGAATTCTAAGGCAAGCGGCAGCCTCGACAGTCGCTGTGGGAAACGGAGGATTACCTTTCACCAATATGGCGGGGTTGCACGTGTACTCCTTTTTTCAAGGCTCTCTAGACGTTGGTTTTGATGTTGCCACAACCTGGGCGATTCTTTCTCGACACGTTGGTGAGAACCAGCTACAGTCTTTCAAGAACTTCGGGGGCAGTCCTCTGGCCCGGACTGGCTGGACGGTCCTCTTCCATTTGGTTTTCCAATGGGGAGCATACGTTTGTTTATCGCGTGGGCAGAAATGTCTCTCTCGTTTGCAGCAGCGCTCGCACCTAAAAAAAAAACGCGCGACACACACCTGGCGCTGCTCGCAAGGGACGGTTGGAAGCGTGGTGACGGGACATTTTTTTTTGCATGCAACAGCTGTTGGATTCGTTTCAACTTTTGGTGTGAAACAAAAACTCCACCACCAGGGACAGTTTACATGGAGCTTCAAACCAACGTGGGCTCACAATGAAGAAACAATGCGTCCTACTGAATTATCGGCTTGCTCACACTTCGCGCAGCGTTCAGCAACACACATGTGTGTGCGGACCAACTGCACACACGCCAAAACAAAAAATATGTCCTATGATGAACGAGCCCTACCATTTCTTCGGTAAAGTATAACTGAGATGACCACAGGGAATACTGCATGTTCAACCCTCAACCGTATCCAGTATTACACGGCGTTGTGCGTGCACGGCAGGCGCAGCCGCCCTGCAAAGATATGCGGAACAACTGCTTGGTTTTTTCGAAGCAGCAGCAGAACCCCGCGTTGTTGTGACACATCGCAGTGCTGCTGGTACTTCACCTACGAACCCACAGCAGTCGATACTGACACCACAAGACACCACTAGACACCACTAGACACCACTGACACCTCAGCCCTTGCCCTAACTCACTTGTCTCATCCGTGTTGATGATGCGGTCTGGCGTGAGCTTGGTCTCCGCGAGGTATCCGTCCCAGGTCTCGTAGAAGGCTTCAAGGCGGACTCGTCGTCTTCGTTGATCCGATTTTCTTCGTAGATGTGCGTGGCTCGCTCCGACAACTCCGGGTGCCTCATCAGGAACCACTGAAGCCAGCGATCCCCCGGGCCCTTGTTTAGGTCCCAGGGCATCTTGCACCCGTCGAGGCAGATCTTCCGCACAACGTCTTTCAGCTCCCTCGACCCAACAGCAAAAAGTGTCGGGAAGCGTAGACCAAGACATCTTCTACGAAGTCTTCCTTGCTCAGGACAGTCCCGGGACCAACCTTCGCATCTATGGCCACCTTGTTGGTCACACGAATGTGCAGCGAGTTCCTGCTTAACCCGTAGGCCTCGGCAGCACCCCTGACTGACATCTGACCACTGCGTACCGCATCAACAGCCTTCTGGGCCTGCTCTGGGTCCATTCTTGTCCGCCCCATGCCTAGCAGCAGGAGCCCGACAAAGGCAAAGATGCCCCGCATCACGGGTGTGGAGGGAGTGGGTGCTGTACCTCGGGGATGCGTGACCGATCGGCGCGCTGAAGTGCTCGAACGAAAGCTAACGGAAAGCTGTCGGTTTACTTCAGATAGTACAACGGCAGTGCACCAGGTCGTACGGAGAGTTTCCTCTCCCCACCAAAAAAACGAAGTTGGCGTTTTCCGGCGCTGTTGTCTTCAAGAGATGTAAGGGAGTGCCATGTGCTAGCAACCAGCCGAGGAAAAACCGCGAGCTTCATTTGACTCTCATCGCACCACTGAGAATGGACGTTGATGTCAACAGGTTCCAAGAGCGGGAGCTGTATGGGGTAAGTACAAGCGGAGAGCGTAGCAAGAGATATGCTGTATTCTTGGCTGATTCACGTTTGTTGTGCAGCCCCCTCTACTGCTGAACTGCCGAAGACGAAGCAAAGGTGCTGTCACACATGCACATACCGTAGCATACATTGATTGGCAGTGCTGTGTTGCGAGAGCGAATCCTTGACGTTCTTCAGGGTGAAACGGTGGTGGGCCGCTAACGAAACCTTCAAGCAGTCGTGGCCTTGTTGCTGTTGCTTGCATAGCTGTCAGGTGTTGATCAGCGATGGGCGGGTTGTGCTGGACGTGTGTATAGTATACAGCAGCTAATTTACGCAGGGAATTCTCGCCGCAACACCTGCGATCCTTGCTGAAGACACGCATCGATGAGGATACGTGCATCGTGTGTGCAAGATGCATGTTGATACAAGCGCAATGGTCACGTGGTTGAGAAAGCGAGGCTTCTCCAATGATATTGTCCACGATGTACCACCTCCAAACTGCTGCAGGTCAGCAGGTCAGCCCAACGTAGCACAACGACATGTCTCCCTCGGTCGCCGCTGTAACTTGCCGCTGTAACTTGTTGCGCAAGGAGCGTCAACGCAATGCGCGGGGACCTGATGCATGAAAAATTGCTTAGTACGACCGTATGTGAGGCCTCCGGCTTTGGGCACCCCGCTGTTCGGCCCTACTACTGTGTTCTGCTGTGGGTGTCAACCCGCTTGCCCGACCGTCTTTCGCAACACCTCGGCAGTTTGGTCAGAACGCTTGCGGAGAGCTAGGGCTTGGAGACACGCTCGAGCGCCACACGCCTACCCTCTCTCAGACCTCCCGCGGCAAGGACATCGTTGACGTCACCGCGGGGAACGAGCTCACAGCCGTTCTCACCAACACCGGGGAAGTGAGAGAGCAGGGTGATGGGTAGGACGACGGTACTCCCGCATACGTCAGTGGCTAATGGCGTGCTTTGGTCAGCGTAATCTCACCTAGACGTAGCTCATGAATGCGCTCTCCTTTGCAGTACTGTGAAAATAATTCGCCCCCCCCCTGAGCTGCCCCCACCCCCGGTGTTTGCCGCCGGGGTTGCGTTTTCGCCGCTTGGCAACGACGTCGTTAAACAAGCCAATTCACTTCGTGAACTCGGCAACCAGGTTACCGGGTTTTTTTTCGTCTGTTTTTTTTTTGCGGTGACCATAATGGTGGTCGAGTAGATCATGTGCAGGGTCGAGAACCCTCGCGCCGCGCAAGGGGGATCATCGCACCACGTTGTGTGAAGTTGGTCAAGCACCCTCGAGGCAGTTACACAGTGCTTACAACTGTCTCTGGAAGTGAAAGCACCAGAAAATAAATTAATTCATACGCAGCTGTCATCCGTACGCAAGGAAGTAAGCACAAGATGCCGAACACCCTTAGCAGGATGCAGCGCACCCTTCATGCGACTCGCCGAATATCTCACGGCGCTTCGCGCTTGGTGATGTGAGAGCCTGGTCCGGTGAGAACCCGGCGTGCTCCGTCCCGGCTTTGTAGGGATGCGAGGTCAATGGTCTAACGACTACGGCATGCACGACTATATGAGTACCCCCCCCCCCCTCGGTGTTGCCATCAGGGTTGGGTTTTCGTCGCTTGGCAGCGATGTTGTAAAACCTACCTATCACTTTGTGAGCTCGGCAACCAGGTCACCGCTTTTTTTCTTGCCTTTTTTGTCGAGCAGCGGTAAACTTGAATGGTGGTCGAGCAGAATATGTCGTGCGGGGTCGATAACGCTCACTCCGCTCANCCCCCCCCCCTTGAGCTGCCTCTGGGTCCTACAACCGGTCTACACTCCACCACCCCCCCTGCCCTCACACCTCCCGTATGTTCCATTACGTACACTCGGACCGTACCGCACGCGGCTCTCCCCGTCGTTTGTGCTCCGCAGGTCTACAGCTGTGGATACAACTGCGAGGGGCAATGTGGGATCGGGGAGATCGATGAAACGGTGCCAGAAACGGTTCCGTCGTTGACCAAGGTGGCACCTTATGTCGTTCTTGCGCGATTGCATCTTCCGCAGTGTACAAAGTTTTTTATTATGTCGTGCTCACAGCAGTGTGTATCGGTAATGGCCGCTACGATGTGACACCTTTCCTCTCTCCCGAGGTGGCCAAAACAGCAGCTCAAGTTAGGTGCCAACGGCTAGTACAGATGCCACCAAGCGCTCCTTGCTCAACGCTGTGCAGTATCCAAGGCCTCGCCCAGCAAGTTGCGCATTCGGGTGCGTTTTCTTCTTGGTCTTGTCGTCGCGTTATATCAGCACTTGCAGCGTCTCTGCCCGGAAGGAGCTCCTACCCGTGTACAACTATGGCCGACTAAGAACGATGCTAAACAATGGTCTCACGTACTCTCGAAGAGGTGATTTCGTTTTGCTCCGCTCGCGGCCGCCCACTTGCTTCCCAACCACGAAATAATCAACACTCCGACAAAGGTAGAAATCTTGGTCCAACCCTGAGCATGGCAAACCCTTGCTGCAGCAGGTTTCACGAAAGACGCCAAGCTTCAAACCCCATATCGCCAAGCACGAGGTTACCGTTCGCTGCTGAGTTCACGAGTGAGGGCACTTGCGCTTTGATATTGGCCTCTGACGATAGCTGACTTGAGTTCAACCACCACGAATCACTGCTCATTGGTCAAACTCTCAGCCATCAGGAACGACTTGACTGCTGTACTTGAAATTCATGCGGAACACCCGAGTTTTGCCATGACCTTGGTCGGCACTCCTGTGTCAGGTGAATCTTCGGGAGCCAAGCTTTCGACCTGCCGGCCGTGTGTCTCTGGTCCACTCTGGGAATGGCTGCGAGCACCTTGTGCTTGTGACGGAGGAGGGGAAACTCCAAACCTGCGGCCGCAACGACTCGTGAGTAGATGTGGAAGCTCGGTTGTACGCGGGGTACAGGGAAGTTTGTGAAAATGTTATTCGTGAGTGGCAGAAGAAAATCCAACATCAGAACATCGAAGGGGGAAATTGTTGGGGTACATTGACAAAACGGCAGTTCGTGGGAAAGGAGATAATCGGGGTTAGAACAGATGGCACACTCGTGTGTGAATGAGTCACCCCGTTTATTCTAGACGTCGGATTCTACCCTCTTTGGTATTTGTATGGACACNGTGCTTGTGACGGAGGAGGGGAAACTCCAAACCTGCGGCCGCAACGACTCGTGAGTAGATGTGGAAGCTCGGTTGTACGCGGGGTACAGGGAAGTTTGTGAAAATGTTATTCGTGAGTGGCAGAAGAAAATCCAACATCAGAACATCGAAGGGGGAAATTGTTGGGGTACATTGACAAAACGGCAGTTCGTGGGAAAGGAGATAATCGGGGTTAGAACAGATGGCACACTCGTGTGTGAATGAGTCACCCCGTTTATTCTAGACGTCGGATTCTACCCTCTTTGGTATTTTGTATCGACATATCAGCCGTGGTCATGTAGGAAGAGGGCCGCACAGGAGGTCCTTGTTAGTTTCTCCACCTCTGTTCTGCGTGCTTGCCCCAAGTGAATGGCGAGAAGGGTGCAGTCCTTCTCTTCCCTCACCGATCGTGAAGCCGGCTCTGTAGCGGTCGCACACTTGATTGGCTGTCGACATTATATGAGCACATAGTGGGGAAAGACGTTCGTGTGTATCACTGCACAACGGCCTCAACCATGAAGCTATGAGGTTACTATTTGAATCCAGAAGCCACTCTTGCATGAGCTGAGCACGACTCATGCAGCAACCGCAGCGGCTACATGAGCTCCGCACGACAACGTAGTGCTATCGACCTGGCAGCACCATCCCCTCTCTCCCTCCGTCCCGTCTTGTCATGTACCGTCTCCATACCATCTTCGTCCCGTCTCGTACCATCTCCATCTCGGTTCGACCTGTGCTGCCCAGTACTGCCTCCGGCATGATTCCGTCCCACCTGGATACCGTCACTCACCAACCCATATTTTCCCCTGATCATGCCTCATTAACACCCGACACACCTCCTGCTCGTATCTTTCTGGCGCCGGTCTTTTCGTTGTACTTTTGTCGCCGCCGCCTCCGCGTTTGCACGGCCTTTCGATCAGGGGGCAGCTGGGGCACGGGGAGGTGGGAAAGGGGTACAGCTTGCCCAGGCCGGTAGCAGGTTTTGCCGGGTACCGAGTCACGAAGGTGAAGTTATCTGGTTGGTGACAGAGGGCATGGCCCACACTGCTTGGTTTTGTCTTCGTCCCAGTTGCCATTTTTGTACGGCCCTTGTGAGGTTTGTGAGTGATACCACATCTGGCCACGCCTCCAGCGGCTGTCGCAATGCCTGGCGATGGTGCTGATGTTTCCAGGAACGCGTTTTTTTTGTTTGTGTGCGACTCTTTGGTGGTTCTCTGGGTGTCGCTTGCCTATCCCTGTCCCTGTCCGATGCCCTTGNTCTGTAGCGGTCGCACACTTGATTGGCTGTCGACATTATATGAGCACATAGTGGGGAAAGACGTTCGTGTGTATCACTGCACAACGGCCTCAACCATGAAGCTATGAGGTTACTATTTGAATCCAGAAGCCACTCTTGCATGAGCTGAGCACGACTCATGCAGCAACCGCAGCGGCTACATGAGCTCCGCACGACAACGTAGTGCTATCGACCTGGCAGCACCATCCCCTCTCTCCCTCCGTCCCGTCTTGTCATTTACCGTCTCCGTACTATCTTCGTCCCGTCTCGTACCATCTCCATCTCGGTTCGACCTGTGCTGCCCAGTACTGCCTCCGGCATGATTCCGTCCCACCTGGATACCGTCACTCACCAACCCATATTTTCCCCTGATCATGCCTCATTAACACCCGACACACCTCCTGCTCGTATCTTTCTGGCGCCGGTCTTTTCGTTGTACTTTTGTCGCCGCCGCCTCCGCGTTTGCACGGCCTTTCGATCAGGGGGCAGCTGGGGCACGGGGAGGTGGGAAAGGGGTACAGCTTGCCCAGGCCGGTAGCAGGTTTTGCCGGGTACCGAGTCACGAAGGTGAAGTTATCTGGTTGGTGACAGAGGGCATGGCCCACACTGCTTGGTTTTGTCTTCGTCCCAGTTGCCATTTTTGTACGGCCCTTGTGAGGTTTGTGAGTGATACCACATCTGGCCACGCCTCCAGCGGCTGTCGCAATGCCTGGCGATGGTGCTGATGTTTCCAGGAACGCGTTTTTTTTGTTTGTGTGCGACTCTTTGGTGGTTCTCTGGGTGTCGCTTGCCTTTCCCTGTCCCCGTCCGATGCCCTTTGTGCCTTGTACACGGCATCGTCGTAGCGTGTCATTGCTCGTGCACCGTATACATTCCCTTCTCTCGTAGCACATGCTGGACAGTAGGGGTGGCCGCTAGTGTAGCGGCAGAGCCGGACTAGTCCACTAGTTCACGCGTGCTGTTTACTCATCGACGTTGCTGATGTTGCTGTTGCTGCTTATACTGGTTATTGTGATATACTCGTCATCTTGATGCTGTTGTTGATTCTTGCTGTCCCACTGACTTCGCGTTTGAACTTGACCTTCATATTGACACGTTCATTGTTCTCCCCCCAGAAGCCCACCGCGATCGTAACCCTCCCCCTGTGCAGAAAATGATGGCTTGTTTGCACTCACAGGCCTTGACGATCTCTTTGTTTCTCTTGGTTTCCCCGTTGCATTCGACACCCCCCCACGGTTGGCGTNTTCATTGTTCTCCCCCCAGAAGCCCACCGCGATCGTAACCCTCCCCCTGTACAGAAAATGATGGCTTGTTTGCACTCACCAGCATTGACGAGCTCTTTGTTTCTCTTGGTTTCCCCGTTGCATTCGACAAACCCCCACGGTTGGCGTATGGTGGTCGAGTAGATCATTTTATGCGGGGTGGAGAACCCTCACTCCGCGCAAGGGGGATGATCGCACCACGTTGTGTTAAAATGGTCAAGCACCCTCGAGGCAGTTACACAGTGCTTACAACTGTCTCTGGAAGTGAAAGCACCAGAAAATAAATTAATTCATACGCAGCTGTCATCCGTACGCAAGGAAGTAAGCACAACATGCCGAAAACCCTTAGCACGATGCAGCGCAGCCTTTGTGCGACTCGCCGAATATCTCACGGCGCTTCGCGCTTGGTGATGTGAGAGCCTGGTCCGGTGAGAACCCGGCGTGCTCCGTCCCGGCTTTGTAGGGATGCGAGGTCAATGGTCTAACGACTACGGCATGCACGACTATGAGTGCCCCCCCCCCCCCCCCCCCCCCCCCCACGGTTGGCGCAGGTGGCGTGCTCGTATTCGCACACGGTGGTCGTGACGGACGACGATCGAACGTGGACCTTCGGGGGCAACGACTACGGACAGCTGGGCCATGGGGACCGTAGCTCCCGCTCTGCTCCCGCGGCTCTCGCCTGCTTTCAGGGCCTGGGCGTGCTCAGCGTCGCTTGCGGGGTGTACCACACGGTATGTTGCAGAGAAACAAGGTTCGGGAGGCAGAGAGAGAGTGAGAGAGAAAGGGGACAAAGAGAGAGAAAGAGAGAAAGGGCGAGGGGGAGGGCGAACAGACACGGACACCGACACAAACGGACCAAGGACAACCTTTGCGTGTGTATGAATCGGGAGGTGTCCTGTTCGTCGCGCCCGAGGTGATTGTACAGCAAGCAGAGGCGAGATAGGCCGGAAGGGGAGTAAGGGGGAAGGTGGCAGAGGTGTGCTAGAAAACCCAGGGGGGGTACATGAGGCAGACGGAGCGACTGCCGG